CTGTGGCCATGCCCAGGGCTGGTGTTGTGTGGGGAGGACTCCCCAGAGCAAGAAGAAGCAGTGACTGCTTAAAAATGAGTAGAGGAGAGTTAAAGAGTGGTTATGTGGCTTGCAAGATGCCTTTGCCCTTCCCTGTAAGGGGGGAGGATGAGGAGCAGCACATTCCCATCTCCCTGCTGGGCACCTGCAGCCAGCACTGCCCTTCAAGTTAAATCCTCCCTTGGGAATGGGTTGCAGCCAATCCCAGGGTGTCCTGAAGTGAAGGACCTGTGCAAATTATGTGAAAGCCTCCTGATTTTTAACCTCATCCCATGCACTTTGGGAAGGCTTGGTGGGTTTTTAGCTCTTGGCACTGCCATTATTGATTCCAGCAAGAAAGAGTCACTGAAATGCACATTTCAAAGAGATTTTGGAAAGGGTCATAATGTCTTTGAAAGAAAGATGAATGTTTGGTTTGGATGAGGGCTCACAGATTGTCTGGGGGATGGGTGTTTCTTCTGGGAAATATGAATGTGGGTAAAATATTTGCACAAATCTTCTGTTTGCAGAGTTATCAAAGCTTCCAGAAATATTGTTTTTAGGACTTGCAGTATGTATTTAACCATTCCTTCAGCAAATCTTTTTGGCTTTTATTCTTGTTTGCTAAGTAATTGGCCTGCTTGGGAAGCTCAGAGGAAAAGGAAATGTGCTTCCTGCACCTCTTATTGCAGAAATATAGAGCTCAAGTCCCCTGTTTGGATCCTGATAAGATCCTGTTTGCTCTCCTGACTTCCAACTATGATGTTTTTCAAGGTTTTTCTCCTTCTCAGAGAAAAACTCATGGATGTGAGAATTCAGGAGGAAAACCCCCCCCCAAGATTTTCCTTTTTTCTTGCCTCCCCATACTGGGCAGTTTTGGGGCAGGTTGATAATGGCAGAGCTTTGCCATTACCATGTGCCTCAGATTGCTGCACATCCCTGAGGAGGAGGGAGCGAGGTCTAGTGCCCTGAACTCACACAGGGAAAACAAATCCTCCAGGCACAGAGGGATTAGGATGAGGAAAATCAATCCAGAGCATTCATAATGAATAGTAAACAAGGTAAGAGGTGCTAGCTGTCTGCACAGGTGTAGGGCTTCATCAAGAGGCGCCGCTGACATCCCAATAATGGCTTGCATTTAACAGCAGGATTTAATGTCCCTGTGAAGGAAGGCAGCTCCTGTCAGGATCACAAGACAGGGTTTTCTTGTATTGCACGTGCACAGATTGCTTGTGAAATAGGGGCAGGCAGTGGTGGAGTGAGATGCTGTCCCTTCCTGCTTCCTGGGCAGAGCGGGACCCGCTGCTGTGGATGTGCTGAGAGCAAGAGGGGAGCATGGTGGGCACTGAGGGGCCCAGTCCCTGTCTGGCCCCACTGTGGGGAGTTGCCCTGACCCACAAGCAGCGTGTTGGCTGGTGGGGCTGGGGCTCCATGGAATGGTCCAGCCAAGAGGCAGAGCCTCGCTGGGTCTGGGCTGTGCATCCTTGAGGTCATGGGCTGCTCTCCTGGGGCTGCTCTCAGACCCATTTCCAGACTATACAACTACAAAACAGACATTCCCAGAGGAAGCTGCTTTTCACATGTGGGTCCAAATTATTGCACCCACTTCGATTCCTGAACCTGTAAGTATTTTGTTCTGCTGTCACAACACCACCCCATCCCATCATGTTGCCCTCTCCTTGTTCAATCCCTTGCTGTTGTGCAAACTCAAGGCACAGACCCCTCTGTCCAGAGAGCTCAAACCACCTCGGTGGCACCTCTCCTGCCCACACCCCCTGCAAGCTGCCAGTGGTAGTAATGCTGTCTCTTTGCCTAGCTCCGCTCCCACTCCAGACTTGCCCACCCCGTCACAGCCCTGCCGTGCCCCGGGATGTTATCACAGGCAGCTCTGCTTCTCTGGAAAAACTCGGCATGCTCTGGATGAGCAGACATCCTCTGGGAGCCCGGCGGCGGACGGGCTGTGTGTGTGTGGTGGGGTATCATCTTCCCAAATCCCCGCCCAGCATCCTCTGGGCTCCCGGGGCTCCCGGAGAGCTCCGTGCCGGGCGGGGAGTCTGCTCTCAGGCTCTATCAAAGGGGGCTGCTGATATCATGGCAACCACGGGGATTGAAACTTGATTAGCTGGGGTTGTGATCAATAATTAACGATGGTTATTTATTATTTGTTAAGTGCCGACACTTGTGTTCGCTTCCAAGTCCCCCAATGGATCCACAGCCTCGCTCGGCGCCCCCGAGATGCATTTTTATACTGCTCAAGGGTCACAAAAGATTTCAAAGAAAGAATATTTTTAAAAGTGTAATCCTTTGTAGAGAGAGAACAGAGGCATCCCACCGCTCTAGAATTTGCTGTAACTAGGGAGAGAAAAATTATCTTCTTTTTTCCTCGTGGTTTGATTTCAGGGCAGCTCTCAGGCAGCTCAGGACGGCATAATCTGCGGGTCAGGAGTCAGTACAGGGCCAGTGCAGGTTCATCTCTGCAGCTCCTCTGCTTTGTGTGAAGCTGGAGCTGCACCGAGTGCATCAGAGCAAGGAGAAGTGAGATGTAATGCAGCTGGATATGGAAAGATTTGAATAATTTAGTTGGCTGGGTCATGGGCAGAACGTGCCACTTGCGGTACCTCTGAAGTTGTGTCAGTGCCTGAGGGCTGCAATTCATCTCAGGGCAGGAGGAGGGGAAGGTCCTTGGATTTCCTTGAGCTGTGTGGAGGGATGCTGGCACATGTGGTCCCCAGTGCCAACTTGCAGGGGGTGTGGGCAAGGGGAGAGGTGCCACAGAGGTGGTTTTAGCTCTCTGGACAGAGCAGTCTGTGCCTTGAGTTTGTACAACAGCAAGGGATTGAACAAGGAGAGGGCAACATGACGGGATGGGGTGGTGGTGGAACAGCAGGACAAAATACTTACAGGTTCAGGAATCAAAGTGGGTGCAATAATTTGGACCCACATGTGAAAACCAGCTTCCTCTGGGCACCTCTGTGTGGGAACAGGTTGTGGTGGGCAGGGAGGGAGCTGTGGTCTGCCTGCCCACCTCTGCCCTTGCCAAGCAAGGTGCTGTTCCCAGCACCCCTCACAGGGAAAACCTCCACCCTGCTGAGCACCATCCCCCTCCTCCTCCAGCACCGAGTGGAAAAGGTGCTGGGGTTTTTTTAAGGGGAAAAGAAGAAACAGCTGGGATTTGAGAAAACACCACAAGTGCTTTTTCAGGAGTATATAGATGGCCCTTTAGAAAGCCAGGGGGTCTAGAACTATAGACCATCTTTACTGAGATCCCTCATTGCCCTGGGGGATGACAACTTGCTGTTAGGAAGAGAGACAGACAGACCCATGGGGACTGTGGGCCAGCAGAGCTTCCATCTCTCCTACTTGAACCTACTGGCTCATGTTTTACTTTAATGAACTTAGCAGCCTTTCAAAGCTAATTATATTTCTTGCTCTATTGCACCAAGAGATTAGAGAATCTCTTCTAATTTCTGACCTCGGTGTTAGTCCAGCTGAATCCCCACAGCAAGGCAAAGCTGGTGTCCCCCAGCCCCCAGGGGAGCTCCTTGCAATGACCTGCAGGGCTGGGGTCCCCCTGCAGAGCCCCCCAGCTCTCACTGCAGGGGGTGTTTATGGGTTATCTGGGTCAAGGCTGCGCTCTCTGGAGTGTGTCCAGGCTGGCTGCCACAGCCCAGCTGCTCCATGGCTACCTCATATATCCCTCCTGTTCCCAACACCCCAAGAACTCAGCCATGAATTCGCTCTGGGCTTCTCTGTGTTGATCTAAACCAGTGAGAGGATGAGCAGGGCCGGTGTGTGACGGATGTGATGGATGTGACCATGCGGCTCTGAACAAATGCACCTCCCTTCCCAGTGTTATTTGTTGCTGTCTGATGGCAACAAATCAAATTTTTAAGCAAACTCCAGATACTCAATGGCCCTGTTTTTATCTTGCTGGTCCTGGTGACTTGGACAAATCACTTAAGCTTTGTGCTTGTGGTTTATTATTTCTTTTTTCCAGAAACCTTTGTTAGCGTCCTGTCCCAGCCTCGTGTCACATGGAGCAGGGGAGTTAATCCCCTCTTGCTGTAGCCAGAGAATTTGGGATGTACAGAGCTTTATTTCAGATGGATACACTCTCTAGTTAATCCCTGTTTTGATGCAACAAGAGAGGGAATGAAGGGTTAATGAACTCTCCCTGGAGAGATTAGTCCGGAATATTTAAGGCTTCTTTAGTCCCAACATTTATTAAAGTCTCTTTTTTTTTGGTTGTTTTATTGTTGTAATGCTCCATTCAAAGGAATCCCTCCTGGATAATTCTTTCAATTTGCTCTCCAGCACAGAAATAAACTGGTTTATCCGAGATCTTTTAATATCATATTCAGGGCTTTTAATAAATGTGAGTTTAATCAGTGCCTTTTTTTTTCTTCTTCTTCTTCTTTTTTTATTTATTTTTTTTAAAACTGGCAAGATAATTTAATATTAACACATCACACCTTATCACCCAATAACACTTAGTCCCCATAATCTTATGACAGGCTAATTTCTGTAGCAACATCCTCTGTGTCAAGTCTGCTTCATTCCATTACTACCCCATCTCCTCGTGGAGCCCGGGATGGTAATGAATATTCTGGCTTCTAAGCTTTTATCTAAGGATTATGAAATGAATTTGGAGTTTAGCTTGAGGGAGTTACAGCTTCATTTTGCCTACTGGAGCTCCTTCATATCGTCGGGATAAATCGTAGGGGTTTTTTTTTAATGCTAAAATGTAAGATGAAGAATCAAAAATATATATGTGCAAAATCCCCTGGATGGGGAGGGATGTTAAGTGCAGGACTTGAGAAAAAGGGTTAATTGAAAAGAGAGCTGGGGAGATGGGGAGAAGCGATGCCTGGCTCCGGGGGAGGGGGAGAGCAGCGTTTGCACCGTTCTCTCCCGCGGGCAGCGCTGGGAGATGTGAGGTGGGAGATACAGGTTTGAGCTGGGGGAAGCAGAAGGTTGATCCTCACTCTTTTAGGTGCATCATCTGCCAAGGCAGCCGTGGTGGGGACCCACGAGCCCCGTCCCATCCCCGCAGCACGGCGGGCTGGTGCCTCTCCCCTCCTGCCTTTCTCATCTGCCACAGTAACAGCTTTCCCTTCATTTAATCCGTGCAGCTCAGAAGGCTGGAGATGAGGTGAGCTCATTTGGCATAATTATCGCATGTGTCAGGAATGTGAAATCCGAGGCAGTGCAACTGTCCTGGAGCCATCACACCTCCGACAGCCTGTCGGCTGGTGATGCTGCAAGGATGGGAAATGCACCTGCTTCCTCAAGCAGAAAATAGGCTGTTAAAAAAAAAAATGGTGAAGGCTAAACTGTTCTCGTGTTCTTTTATGTCTAGCATATGCTCCCCATCCCTGCTCTGTGCCCCCTCTGTGTGTTTTCCCCCTCGGCTCTGGTGAGCCCCTGGCCGTGGTGCCGGGTGGGTGATGCCGCCTGGGAAGGTCACGGTGCCAGAGGGCTGGGGAATGGGAACACATCTCCAAGGGACTGCTCTGCTCTCCCACGTGTCCAGCTGATTGTAGCCCTGATCATATGCCCGTGGTGGAGGTGTGGGGTGCTCTTCCTGACATGAAAAACTCCTCCTGGCGTGGAAGGGAGAGTAAAATAATGTGCTGCATTCAGGTTGTGCTCTCAGGTCAGGGACTGGAGCATCCTTGGCTGTCCTCATCCCCTCCTGCCTGTCCTGGGCAGAAAAGAACCTGTTTGTGGGAAACTGCAGCCACTATTCCATGGTCATTGTGCAAAGCAGCATGGGGCAAAAATTACAGAATGGCATGACAGAATGTGGCTGCTGTGAACAGAGGTGGGTGCCCGTTCCATTTTTGTCTGATTTCTGCCTGGATCGTTCTCTTACTCATCACTTTATCCTTTGAAAATCCCATCCTCTCAGTTATCACCCATCCCTGCTTTCCTGGCACCTGCTCTGGAGCAGTTGGACAAACCCAAACCCTGAGAGGAACAGCTTTGGTGGGTTGAGCAGTGCCCTGCAAAGCTTTGGAGCAGACTTTTCCAACCTCTCTGCCAGAGATGCCACCAGTAAGGAAACAACTAGATGGCACTGGGATGGCTGTGTCAGACAGGAGTGGGTTTCAATAGTGTGCTTGCTCTGGATCACACCCAGGAAGCAGAAGGGTGTTACCTGGCTCAGTCCTGCTCATCAACCCAGCCGAGTGCCAAAATTCACCTGCTGCTGCCTCCCCCTTCCTCAGTGAACACCGAGAAATAAATTGGACAAAAAAATAATTAACTTGCCATAAATTGGGTATTAGCATATGAATTAGAGTTTAACATATGAAAGGGCTTTTGATGCTGCATAAAATTAATACAGAGAATGACCGTAACAGAATAACAAATTACACTTTAGGAGTCGGCTCCTGTGTGATGGTGACAGGAGGGTGCCTGAGCCCGGGAGGGGGTGAGGCTGGGAGTGGGGGCATCACCTTTGACTCCCCAATATTTGGTGCAGCTCTGTGCCAGCCCCAAGCTCAGGGCTGCCTCTGCCTTATAATGCTGGGGCTGAGGAAATTCATGCAGGTAATCCCCCCCCACATTTGTGTTCTGGCACTTGCTTCTCTTTATTTGGATAAGTGGTGGTTTATTTTTGGTCCAGTGTGGTCATTATTTTACTGATGGTTAACCTGGGCTTTTTTTTTTTCCATTTGAGTTTCAAGTATCCTGGCCAGGCTGGCTGTCAGATGTTTTGATAATATACCCAGGACAGAGAGGACTTAAGACAGCTGTTGAGTCCTGTTGTGATATTGCTCAAAACAATCTGAAGATAAACTATTATTCACAGGCAAAATTTTTCTAGGACAGAGTTGAGCTGGTAAAGACTGTCCATTTATTTCCTGAGAGGGGAAGAGAAAACCAAGCTTTTATTACAATATGGGAGGTGTGAACATGATTGAATGTGGTTTGGGGAACGGCAGCTCCATGGGGTCTGTGCACCCTCCTAGACCAACCCAACTGCAAACTCAAGGTGTTGGCTTAAATTGCCTTCCCTGAAGTTTAAAGTCAACACATTTTACCTTGTACTTAGAGTGAGAATTCCACTGATGAAGAGCAGCCCACTGAAAGGCTGTAAAGTGTTTGCACGCTGTCAGGTATCATAGAATCATAGAATAGATTGGGTTGGAAAAGACCTCCAAAAGTCCAACCCCTATCCACCCAGTGCAGAAGGTCTTAGAAAGTATGAGTTGGAAAGCTTGAAGTTTTATTTTCCAGGCAAATAACCGGAAAAAACCCTCAGCATACCCCTGCAGGGAGGAGAGTGTGGTGGTGGCAGGTGCAGTGTCTGTGAGCTGATGTTCCCTGGGGGTAGTTTTGCTTTGCCACAAGAACAGTGTTCACATGGTTTTGGACACTTCCAGGGATAAGGAGTCCACAGCCTCTCTGGGCAACCAGTTCCATGTCTTCATGGCTGTTTCTTTTCTTTGGTTTTGTTTTCTTTTGCCCTTTTTGCCCGTGAGCAGAACCCCCTTAGGCTGTGTGTGTGCCTGTGACAGTAACATAATTACACCTTCCCAGCTGCTGCCTGTAAATGCTCTTGTCATGGGTGCCAATTACAATAAATGCAGATTAATTGGAATGAAATGGACAAAAAAAAAATCACTTTTTGTCTAAATATCAGCCTGGCTTCTGGGATCATTTTACACTAGTGTCTGCATTTATGACCTGTACTAGTTCACTCCAGCAGGAAAGGGACCTCAGCCTTGCAACTGGAGCAGGCTGTTGTTGTGGCTCAGGGGTTCTTTTGGGATGGGTTCTGCATCCATGAGGGATTGAGGGACCATGTTGCTGCCCTGAGCAATGAACTTTCTTTGGATGGATGCTGCCTGCTCTGGTGGGTCAGCAAGCAAACAGGAATCTGAAGAACCTTCTCTAAATTCATGTCCAGGCAGAGCAAGCCAAATAGAGACAACCAGCTCTGCCCTGAGGGTTAACCACCTGCTGCTGAAGTACTAATTGCAGTGAATTGTGTCCATCAATTTTAGCAAAGAGGGTTTGCTTCCTGCAAGGATGACAGGGGAAGGTGAGGCAGGGAGAAGCCCTGATCCTCTAAAGGATCTTTCTGCTGATCAGCTGGGATGGGAGGGCTCCAGGGACTGGTAGTGAGTGGGGCGTGACCTTCCCTCCTCAGCCTGGAACTTGCACATCTTCAGTCACCCAGGAACATCCCTTTTTCTTGGGTGCTTCTGCTCTGGTTCATACTCATGGCCCACAGCTGGCCCTTAACCCTGCTGGGAAGGGCTGAGGTGTCCGTGGCCATCAGAGGCTGCTTCTCCCGGGGTTCTCTGTAGCCACCTTGGCCAGGTTGCTGTGGTCACCACAGAAATAACCATCACTTGTGTCCCTCAGTGCCTTTCTGAGGGTCTGGATTTGCAGTGGAACCATGCCCTGACAGCACTGCAGTGGGATCATCTGACAGGCTGGGTTAAAACTTCCCTTTCCTTCCTTCAGGCAACTATTTTAATTGCAGCACTGTGATACTACTAATAAAAAGAGGGATTTCACACTCTCTCCGGCTTTAGAAATCCATTGTTCAGGCTGTTTACCTCCCTTTTTGTTCTGAGAAATATTTAATTGTCTCCTTGGACAAGGTTGTCCTCTAAATTATACTAAATTAGTGGTAATTTATGTAATTTTTTTTTCCTTCACACAATAGTGATTCGCTCTTTACAGATTGTCCTGACAGAAATCACTTTTGAGGGTGCTCAGCTCGGTGTCTGAGCAGTCCTGAAGGGACCAGGGCAACCCCAGAGCCACAGCTCTGCACCCCGAGGTGGCTCCTGGGACCTCCACTGTCCCTTTGTTCCTTCCTAGTGCCTTCAGATCCTTGGCAAGTCTGGAGGAACTGCTGCTTCTGTCACCTCCAGTTTATTTGCAAGGAAGGAGGAGCAGGTATCTCTCTAAAGTTATCTTACTTTTGCTACGTGCTTGTTCTATTTTTCTAAACTCATAATTACCCATAGTTGGGTTACCAAAGTGCTCCATGAGCACTGCAGGAAGCACCACGGCTCTGAGATACATCTTGGCGCCACTTGGTTTAAATACTGCAGCAATTAACTTTTTCAGACTTTTTAACCAACCTCCTGGTTGACTCATTTCATGGACTTGTTGGGTAAAAGATAAAAAAAAAGATAAAGATGACTAGATTTTTGTCCGAAGAAGAGCCACGGAGCTGGGGAAGGTCCTAAAGAACAAGTCACATGAGGAGAGGCTGAGGGAACTGGGGGGGCTCAGCCTGGAGAAAAGGAGGTTCAGGGGGGACCTCATTGCTCTCTACCTGACAGGAGGGTGCAGCCAGACGGGGGTGGGTCTCTTCTCTCAAGTAACCAGTGGCGGGATGAGAGGAAACATCCTCGAGTTGTGCCAGGGCAGATTTACACTGCACATTAGGAAAAATCTCTTCACCAAAAGGGTTGTCAAGCCCTAGAACAGGCTGCCCATGGGAGTGGTGGAGTCACCATCCCTGGACAGGTTTAAAAGATGTGGAAAGCACACATGTGGTGCTTTCACGTGCTGCAGACACCAGCTCATCTTCGCTGAGGAGATGCCAGTGAAGCAGGGACCCTACTCCTGCAGATGCAGCCACACCCCAGCTTAGACTTCAGGATGAAGTTCCTCTGCTTTTTATTTCTTTCCCTTTTATTTCTTTTTTCCTTGACCTCAGAGGCAATCTGGGGAGTGTCATGGGCCTTCTGGCTCTGTCCCTTCAGATCCTGTTGCCCACAATGGCATTTCTCTCCAGCCAGTTCCTGCCTGTCTCTCCCGTTGGGTGTGGTCCCCTTCCTTCTGCACCCGCCGTTCTTTATGGACAAAAGCTGACTTTAGCACAGGTCTCCTTTGATAAGAGGAAGCCTTATCCAGTCCCAGAGACAAGTGCATCCCGGGAATGACAGGAATTAGGTCAGCTCAGTGACACTTGGGCACACTGGGCTCCTCCTGCCTCCCCTGCCGTGGGGTGCTGCTGTCTGCCCTCCTCCTGCCTTCAGGGACCCCCCGGGCCAGAGCTGTGCTTGAAGGCACCCGGGTGCCCCCAGCCCTCCTGCCAGGTGAGCAGCCTGTCCTCCACTCAGCAGCCTGCCCTTGCTGCCTCCTGCACCCTCCTGCACTGAACCCCACTGGAGG